AAATATTTTTTCTTTTAAAACTTCTTTTAGTCTTCAACTGATCTTCCTGGTCAGCTGGGGCATCTTCAGGCTCAATATCAGGAAGATCTCCTAACCGTGACATGGTCTTCTTAACAAGTTCATCAATTTCCTCCTGCTTAGAGTCTTCATAGTCCTTATCAGTTAGCTTCCAAAGTTTTTTTTCAACTGTGTCATACACTTTTCGAACAATAAAACCAGGATGTTGCTTCCGAACTGGAAGTTGCTTATGCAATGGAACAAAGTGCACAACGCATTTATGCATTACAGATTCTGCAGGAACCTGATCACGGTGGAAACTATAAAACAGCTCTCGAGTATCATGTGATTGCCAACTTCCACCACCCTTTCTTTCAGCTTCCTCGGGACGATAAAACCACTGCCCAGTGACCATCATGCCATCTTTGTTCTGAGTAATATCCTATCAATAGGACCAAGTTCCATTGTTCAGGGACAAGAGAGTGGCTAACTTCCTCTGCAGATTACAGGTATGTGCATACATATAAAAACAAGAACTGCCATATAACAACAGACTCAAAATATCAAGTTGAAAAAGGAAACCATGTAGTGAGAACTCCATGTCCTACAAGCTTCAAGTTCCCTCTAGATAGCAGGATAGGGTTTAGAATACGCCCCCAAAAGAATACAAATATTATCAGGTAATTGTTTCATACTCATTCTTCATGGTCTAACGAGAATGAATAGGATAGGCTACCAAAAAAGTGGCTAGCAGTTTAGAATGAGTCCAAAAATCACCTCTGCATATCCAAGTTGCCCCTTTGACTATGGAACCAATATATGGTGACCAGTCATGAGCATCTCCTTTATATGTTAATCAGCCATACATAAGGAAAATGCATCCCAACTAAATTCACGAGAAAAGGGTTAAACAGTTTTAAAAAATGAAATTATACTTTTCCAACACAAGGAGTGACCAATTGAATGAATAATGTATCAACAGTTCAAATAGAAAACGTCCAGTCATTGAATTGAGCCACAATTACATTAAGGTCAACTTCATTGTCTGTAACCTTTTGAATTTGTTTTGTGAACACCTGATTGGGATAGAGATCTTCATATAAAAATGGGGAGGCACTCCTTCAAGAAGTTCAGCAAAAATTTAAAGGAGCTCACTGCATTCACTACGTCCATTAAAAAAAAAACACATACACAGACACACAGACACACATTCTAATGCACTTCTCCCAACTCAAAGAGCCAATACATGAAAATGTGAACATTAACCTCAATATTTTAACACCCTGAAACTGCCAAAAGAAACGCCAATTTGTTCAAATAAAAGCATTGTATATCACTTATCAACGTGCATCAGAAAAGGTTCACATCACAAAATTCCAGGACATAGCAAAAGATTATATTTCAAAAATTCAGATGAAAAAATTAAGCATGTTACCTTGATAATTGCCACATAAGGTTTTTGATCCTTGTCCTCAGGAACCAGAAGTACCGGATCCTCCTACCAACAATCAGAAGGAAATTCATAAGAGCAATCAGTGATCACGAACTTCATGTTCACACGAGAACAAGTATAACGAGATGCAACTCGTCCCATGGACTCATCCTTTTAAACGTTTTATGTCCGTGTTCAAAACTACGAAGTATGCTTAAGATACCATAAAAAATGCACATGATACTATTACTTGAGATAACAAATTAAGAACATGATCCAGCATATTAGGGATATACCAAGCCCTAGCTACTGCCAACTACAAGAATCCACTTTTCACAGCTTCAGTCTCACATTTTTTTTCAAGCCCATACAACTGTCGATACTAAGTGGATTAACAAACACTGAAAAAAAATGCGAAAACTAAGTAGAATTCTAAAAGAAATATAGCAACACTAAAAACCAAACAACCAATAACACAAAGTAACTTACGAGATCATATCTGTTCCCATCATATTCAAACGCATTGTAATGGCTCTTCCTTCCCCTCCCTTTCCCAGAAACCCTAACAGCATCCCCAACCGGCTTCGCGTCCTCTTGCGACTGATCGTCCTCATTTTCATCATCTGCCTGCTGTTTATACGCTTCCACCTCCTTCTCTCCCTTGTTTCTACTCCTTCTACTCCTTCGATTTCTCTCTTCCCCTTCCTCCTCCTGCTCCTCCTCCTCTTCCTCTATGAACTTCATCTTCTTCCTCTTCCTCCGAATTGGCATGTTGTCGTCTGAATTAGAGAATTGCTGCTTCGTTGCCGGCACTTCATCTTCCTCATCGCTAGTGGAAACCTGAGCAAATCTTCGGTTCCCCATCGTGAAAATGGGCGAGAGCTTCCTATCAATGGCCGATGTTCAGTCTTCGAATCTCTATCTGTGACCGAAATCGTTTTTGGTTTTCGCGGGGGGGGGGGGGGGGG